AGGGCATCTGCTGGGGATGGGAGGACTACAAATGGCATCTATCTTCAGCAACTAACACCCAGTCCTGTGTTCTGCAGGAACGCCATTAAAAACCGAGGCAACACTGGCCGTGAGCCATCTAGCAAAGTTCGTTACGAAGTTGTCTACGGCACCTGCATGAAGGTATCAAGCAAGTGAACTCGCCATGCCTCCTCCACCCCTCTACCAACTGGACAGAACCCTGGTGGATGTATGGCTGCGTAGTACTGAAGTGAAGACAAAGTGGCAAGGAGGAATGGACACAAAACCCCATCACCATTATGCTGTTTTAAACGCCGTCCTTTGCCAAGTAACTCTGCTTCTCGGTCAGCGGTCTCACGACTAGTGATGGACACACGAGATGACGAGCACATTCCCCTTGCCTTCGCCACAGTTCCTAAACAGGACAAAACTCCAGATCCCATGGAATTCCAAAGAGGAATAAGTGACACCGAGGTCAAGCTCCTCCTCAGTTGCACGCAAATTCCACGGATGGCACGGTTGGTTCGTGGATGTTTTTCCCAAAGCACCGACTGCGTTGTGATGGCCGACGCAGAAGGTTGACCAAGGGGAGCGGCGGGGACGACGCTCAAAAGAAGAGAGGGGACTACGTACTACCTTGATTATTTGGCTAACTCTTTGCTTTGATTACGCAGGCACTTAGGGCTTCGCGATTGCACTTCCACAGAACGGCATGTCCTCCAGGACATGCCAGCCCTTCCGTATGCCAGTGATGCGTTTTCTGCCCTAGTGTTATGACTACTTTCAGCTTTGAGAAAGCCTCGGAGCGCTAAAAAATCCAGGAGTTAAGGCTTAACGAAGTACACCGAATTCATGCGCAGCCATTACTGCGAGCAAATTACTTTTATCCCAAAAACACAAGTGGGACGTCCTTTAAAGGAAAAAAGGGGAGCGCCGACGTCAAGTGTCAAGACTGATGTAAAAAAGCAGGGGCCATAAATGGCCATTGTGACAGGACGTCAGGGCAAAACAATGATGTGGTAGGCCTGTGACGCGCTATAACGACAACCATTGATGGAGCACTACAACTTGAAAGTCCAGACGGCAATGTGCTCCAAATACCCATTAACGCATTTGACCCACTCCATGAGCTTCAATGTTCCAGCATGACCTTAAATTGTCTACGAAAGCGTAATTTATCCTTTTACAGACCAGAAACATCCCTTATCTATGTTATGAGTTTAAACTCAACCTACCTGTTTACAAGATTCGATTACTAAGTGATACTAAACAAGCGTCACATATATGTGACGCCAGGCTGATGTAATAACGTCACGCATGCGTGGCGCTAGTGACAAATGTGTTAAACCTGATTCTTGTGAGAAAACAAAAGCCCTAATTTTTAACAAAAGAAAAGATATGCATTAACTAAAGACATTTTTCCCCCAACTAGATTCCGTGCTTGCACCTAAAGCTAAGTAGATTCACTACTGTCGGTAAAAAGGGCAAATCGCCTCGTTTTCCCCGACAGTCGGAAAAAAACAACTCGAATAAATATGATTGCTACCGGCCTAACTTGGGCTGCTAACTTAAGTGAGTGTATCCAGGTCCGACCGACTGTCGAGGTGCCTTCAAAATGCACTATACGTTTGTCAGGCTTTTTAACATACAGCAGACGGGGCATTTTAATTAATTTTTAAATCTAAATGAATGCGAAAAAAAGGAGATGATAACACTAAATTGCACTCTACAGTTTATCTGAGTCCACTTAGGACAAGCAAATCCGCAGCTTGCGCTTGATTTTGCGAAATAAGGGAAGGGGGAGTGGATATGGTGGAGGAAAATTTTGAAACTCTTCTCTACTGCAATAAGCACTGGCATAGCGACGCCCTTCTTGCATGCTACAAGCAAGTGGAGATGTGTGGTCCTACCCGTACAGCACACTGTGAGAAGTGGCAAGTGCGTCACAGATCACGACCCACTCCAAAGGTCTTCAGACAAGTTGGCGATCGACAGTGCTACTCTGTGCACGGAGCTGAGGGAGGCGCACCTTGTGAACAACAGCGTGGAATCCTAACCCTCGCGGACTTCAAGCGCAATGCAGCAGCGGAACACGCGGTTTGTGAGCAGCAAGGCGTTTGGACAGTGATAGTGCCAGTCATGGTATTTTCAGTGCCAGACGAAAGCCGTCACCCCTGTGAACACTTACCTCTTAGAATTTCTGATCTCGTGGAGGTGGGGGTTGCAGTCTCAATGACGACGTGAGGCAGACCATACTGAAAACTCCTCCTACGCCGAAAATGTTCAAGTTGACGCCGTTTGCACTCCCTGAATTCGTGTTTTATTTCAAAAACCCCCACTCGTAGTTAAAGTAGAGAGAGAGTATGGAATTTATAATCACTGCTCGGTAAAGAAAGGTTGAAAAACAATAATAGACGCAATAAGGGTGCTAAAACTAACCAAAGAGAGGAATGGAGAAAGATGGGTAAGGCATAGTGACAAATGGAAACCGCTAGACAATAGGATGTGTCTACTCTTCTTTTTTCTCTTCGACTACCTTGACAATGACCATAACCATTCTCACCACACCACGTGGTAGTACCGCGAATGCAACGCCATTTGGCTCGACGAAGAGGGGGGAAAAAAACAATTGGGAAATCATTTGAGTGACAGGAAAGCTCACGCATATGGTGGTGTCCGAGTTTTGTTAAGCCCATTCGCTACATCTCAAAGATTTCAATTTGACTATTCTGAGGAAGACACCTCATTTTCTGCCATAAGGTCAAGACAGCTTAAAACGTCAGAGAGAATAAATAATAAAGTGTTTTTAGAGGTTCCGATTTGGGGTGAAACCGGGTGCGATAGAAGGAAGTAGATGGATCCACCTCGAACCACAAGTATATCAGAGGAGAATGGGAGAGGGCGTCTGAGGCAAACTTGGACTTTTGGTTTTACACAAAATAATAAACACTTTCAAGGAGTGAGGTCTGCATCTGTTTTTTTTAACTTGTGCGGGTTTACAATGGATTACAAGTCGACTATTCACGTCCAGGCATTTCAAAAGCTGAATGAGTATCGAGGCTTGGGGCTTAGAGCCGCGTCTTTGAAACGTTGACACCATTCCAGTTACCCATGGTGGCGCAGCCGCTCATCCCCGCACCATATTATGCTTGAGATTTTCAAAAAGGCAAGACGTCTGTAGATTCGGTTTTTACAAATTCGTTCATTACCATTCACGAGCTACTGCTGTTGTCAATAGTCTTGACGTGACCTGAATTGACCCATGAGATGTGCACTGACTACCAGCACTCGCGGCAAAACACACCTTCCGCCTAAAAGTACGCTTTGTGCTACCATAGCAGCATCCTTTTAAGTGATTTGATGCTTGAAAAAGTTCTACTTTGCCCGACACTTTTACTCTTGGGAGATCACAGCAGAGACCAAGTTGGATACATCTATCCACCTCGAGACACAGATGAAGCAGATTGAATTAGTTCTGCCATTTCTATAGCAAATGGATCATTTAAAATAAGTCTGGAAGTGAAGGACGTCTCCAAGCTAGATGGAGTTGAGTAAGTGTCAAAATCTGATAGAGATGCATTCGGATAGCTTATGCATGAGATGATCAATGTGCTTCTCTTTCGGTAAAGAAACATCGCACCCACAGATATTCTCCCTTTTGAGCTATCACAGAATAATGGGTAAAAAGTGTCCCCCTCCTACCTCTCTGATTTGCCCCCGAAAGGGAGCATAAAGCAGAAATCTACGTCAATTCCTCTGAAGGAGTTTCCTTAGAAAAGTAATTTGATAGTGGGCGCCCATCATCATAAAGGTAAAAGGGCTTATGTCATTGCACTGCGTTAAAGCGAGCTCATAAAGATGGAGATAATGTTTTGAGAACGTCTGCAGTAAGTATTTCGGATGGAAATGGCACCAGTGGAGGTATTTATTACCACAATAACGTGATAATGCATCCCGCCTCTCAATGCGCCTTTTCATGGTGCAGCAGTCGCAGAGAATGGATACGATCGGGTGATAATGGGAAGATTAAAAACACCATTTTATCACAAAAAAACGCGCTACCTTCTATGATCCTAATGCCTAAAATGAACTCTTCTGGCTAGAAATGCATACAAATGTAAAGATTATAAGATAAACTACTCAAGTTTCATAAGCTAGATTGTCTAAGAAAGTCTGTTTCTTTTATCTGCAGAGCAGCCAATTCTTTCACACCAATTAACGCGCATAACAGAAGCAGTTATGAACTTTACTAGACGAGAAAAGAATGGATTTTAGACAAAGTTGACTGCACAGCATTTCACTTTATTCAGCCTAAGCACACTGAAACCCAGTTTTAAGTGCAATAATAATGACGGCGTTATACTGTGTATGAATACCGATCGAAGTATGGGTGGAGTAAATGAAGAAAATTACTCCACAAGCCGGGCGCTTAATTTATCAACAGAGCCCCACAAATGTTTACTGATTGTTTGTAAGTAGGCTAAGCCGGGGGAAATGTGAACCTGTGATTTCATGCCTCGGCCTTTTTATTGTAAATTTTTCTGGGGGAGTCTAGAACCAAAAACAGCAATGTTTTTCCCACAGAATGCACAGTTGGAGACAATATTGCGGACCTCGGTGTAAGCAAAATGCTTAGGAATAGTCAAATAAAGCGGTTAGGGTTTGGTGTTCTCATAAAACAATCAAATGAGGTCAAAAATCTTGGTTTATTTCTGGCCTGGATCATCAAAGTCAAGCTATTAAGAGAGGTAGAGTTAAGCTGTATAATTGGGGATCCATTATTACTGTGAAATAGATGATACAGCAGATGGGGTGACCTCCCTGAGGAGACGATGGAATTACGGGAAACGCTCCTTCACTTGTGATAATTTAATAGATCAAGGCTACAACACAGCAAGATAGAAAACCCTAATGCATAAGTTGAGACTCATGGAGTTAATTTAACAGCCCAAGGGGGCCAAAGGGGGTTAGATATGACCAAATAGGAGCCAAAAACGTACCGGAATGTTGCACGACTCAGCTACCTCCGCATCTAACTGCTCCGGCTCTTGGTCACGTCCCAAATAGGCACTAACTCCAAAGCTCACAAAACTGTGAATAATATGCTGCCCCACGCCAAGCACCACTACAGGCAGCACGAGTCGCCATACGGGCAGGAGGCGTGAAGTTCGAATGGGAATTGCTCGCAAACCCGCCTTGAGTTTGCCCCCCACGGAACCCATTCGTGAAACGGTAGGAGAGATGTTGGGCAGGAGACGTCGCAGCCCCTCCTGGAGGCAAGACACCAAGGTTGTCGGCTCTGAGGCTATATCTGACTGCAGTAAAGATAGTATAGGAGGATCAAACACATTATAATGAGAGGTTTAGATTTGCAAACTACCATCTGTCCACGTTTAGTGCCCCTAAGGTCATGTGCAATAAAGTATTTTTCTGGATCACTATGTCTTGTCAGATCACAGAAAGAAAATCCACGATGTGGATGTATGAATCAACAAGAAAGTTGAAGAGACGTTGATTTTGGCAGGCCACATTCCCGAATTCTGTACGAAGACAAGTTGCAACAAACCGTAATGTACTTCACTATGTGTATCCGACCAAAACAATTTAAAGCATAGCCTAAGAACATGATATCACTCCTTCTCTTAATATCTTTGAGTAAGCGTTAACAGGAAGGGCGATCGAGCTAGAGGATGCGCTCCCAGATATGTTCAGTCTTCCGAATTAACCCCAAAATTGATGTTTCCCTCGACGGAGGACCTAGTATTAGGAAACCCAACTCTGTTCCACAGCATGGACTGTCACTAGTAGGTACCACTCATCCTACAAGCTAAGTTCCTCGCGCCACCTTTGTCCCTGTGCACTGCTAAAGAAAAGACTCATGACAGGCGAAGAAGAGTTGGCAATGAGAGCGCCAGTAGTACTCAAGAAGAAAATAAATTATGCAGCAAAATGAAACTCGTTTTAAAACACATTTAACTACGTGAGCCCTACGGTCTCCACGATCTTGGTTAACACCTTCATGTCATGAAGGCGCTTCCGTGTCTATACTGTTCCAGTACATCTGTACTTTAACGATAAACGTTTTCCCAAACTGAGATAGCCCGTAGTACCCTCAAAAATGACTCAAATACTCAAATAAAAACACCTCATATCGGTACATATCTAAGCGAAATGAGCACCAGCTTACCTGAACAAATTCCACAATGCTTGCAGCGTAAAATGGAGTTACAATCATCCAAGAAAGTCTAGATTTTATTACATCAGAAAAAATCCTTACACTTTGAGGAGAACATGAAGCGAAATTTTGGCAGCACTGCTATAGATAGTAATTTCTCTAAAGACTCGAAATTATTGCGAAAAACAAAACCCAACTTGGGAAGTGACAGAACCTCAGAGAGTCCATTTTCGGAAACTGTTTTAACAACTTTCACTGTTACTGCACCACTTAGTCCCTTCCATAGCGATAATACCCCCTGACAGCATAAAGTAATACAATACATGTACGTATGCATCTAACCTGCCGCGAAACATAAGTGCGTATAATCGGTAGGAGAGAAAATGGTAGAAAATGAATAGATTTGCTTCGGCTTCGAACCTGAAAGAAGAACTAATGCTTCCTATGGAATTACTTGGCATTGATGTCGAAGGACCAGAAATGGGTGAGCAAATAATACATCTGTAATTGCACTAAGAGAGAAGTCGTCAATTGCACAAAATACCTTGACACGTTGAGCCCGTAACTAACCATTTCTTTAACAGCTGAAGGTGTAAGTTAGCGCAAAAAGAACATACAAATATCGGTGGATTTACACGGGATTTCAGTCGATGCGGCCGCTTGAGGTTCAGGGACTAAAGCAGTATCTGCATCTTCTTGATTGGAAGATGATGGTGATTTTTCCATTTCTCTTAGTTTACTTGACCACATTTTTAACGAAAAAATTTACGCTTAAATGCGAATAGAAAATCTTGCTCACTGAACAGTGCTGCAAATTGATTGGCTGAAACAGTTCACTCGTATAGTTTGCGCTAGTTAACGAATCATTCAAATACATTTCCTTCAACTCAAAAAAATAAATAACATTGCTTTTCAAAAATAAAATTGTAAATCCTTTTTTAGTGTATATTGGCACTATTAAGCGAGTGTTAGCAGGTACACTCGCACCTTCTGAATCAAATCATTGATTAGTTAGCATAATTTTTACGGTAGCATTAGGACGTTTTTACTCAAAAAAGTGCAAAATCCCAAACGCTAAGATATCTGACTTTATATTTTTTAAAATGCTTAGAGTTTTTAAATGATTGGTATTTGACAATAAATATACGCATATGTTCTTGTTAGAATACCCACGTTTCCAATACCTTTCCAAATTCAGTGTATGTAGGCGTTTTTATTAGCATAACGTACAATTACATTTATAGTCTTGTAATACGATGGTTGTGTATCTCCCTATTGGCTAGGAGCCACTTCTGACTTGTCCTTTGTACCACACTGGGTGGACTGGCCTTCAAGCCATGCCAGTAGCCCAAATACCTCCCCCTTGCAGAGTATATGGGAACGTCCCGAGACTTCCCTGAGGACGAAAGAAGGCACAATACTCGGGCAGAATATATATATGTTCAGCACGGAGAAGGTGTCTGGGTTATTGGCATGGCCCGAAAGGACAGCCCTCCCAGCTAGGTACGCAAAAACCAATTCAGAGTACAACAGTGGCGCCTCACCATTACCGAGGGATAACCATTGTCGTATTAAAATATATATTCTGCCTAATTATTATGCCTTCTTTTGTCTTCAGGGAATTCTCCGGACTCTATAGTCTACTCTAAGTATCATTTATTTTACTCTATGTACCACAGAGGTCTTGAGCATACTTAATGTTCGCCAAGCTAGTATTCCGGATTCTCCGTGGAGTTAAAATGCGTCAAACCATTAAAAGGCTGGGTTTGTCATTTGGAAACAGAAGTGCATAGAGCCCCACTCCACGGAGCATATGTTTAACTCACAGGGACTGCTGAGTGCGCGTGGTTAAACAAATTACCAAGACGTTACACTACCTTAGCAGCACATGTCCGTGGTCACTGTAGCACCCTAGGCCCATATTAAAGTTGTTAAGGTCCACACAATCAAAGGTGTTTATTGCTAGTGAATAAAAGGTATAATGTAATATTCATGTTGTTTTATTGTTCCTCGCCAGAGAGGAGTCGGGAATACAAGTCGAACCTCTTAACTGCGGCGTGAAAATCCAGCGACCCCGAGAGCGTTTCCGTGTCCACACCACATTAAACTCTGTACTTGCTTACCTCATTTACTTACCCTAATAAACATGTTTAAGCCAAATCAACCTGGGTGTTCTACGAGTATGAGGACCAGGGAAGAGGAGAGATACAAGCCTCATGAAAAAAAAGCACCCAAGACATGCGGTTTAACGAAGTTTCAGGTCATTACATTCACACCGTTTTTTATCACCTTGCCTTTGCCCTGTGATTAAACAAAGACACGCATTGACGATGTCTTTCAGATTGGTGTAAACAATACCTATATTATTTACTTATTGCTAAAAGTGAGAAATTTCACTCATCAACTTTTGAAATTTGAACAGTGCCTATTATGACCACTATCTAGCATATCTTTTAATCAAGAGCTTTCCTCAGCATCCCCATTAAGTCGGGAGTAACAGATTGAATTCTTTGTTAACAGTTACTTATTAAATGGCACACTGAACCCAAACACCTAAATAACTCCACGCTAAAATGTGTTTTCTTCCAAATGTTTGAAAGCTAGTTTACTCCTCTTCCTCCTCCTCCTCCTCCTCCTCCTCACTGGAGGGATCTGTGGTGCATGTTTGCATGCACTCCTCATAGGAGTCAAAACGGTTCGCGTTGCCGCCAAACCCGGTGTAGGTGAAGGGAAAGCAGTTCTTGTCCTTGACGCTATAGTAGAACATCTCGATTTTGTCACTCCCAAGGCCCGGATGGTAGATGTAAGTACACCTTCTGAGAATTTGTCTTTCTACAGTAAGAAGCAGGGGGATTATAAAGTGGTTACGTGGCAAATAATTGGTGGTAAAGCCGCAAAAGCTGCTTAAGTTCGTGTTTTTGTGTTGAGATTCGTTTGCCACTGCTTGAGGCGTTATCCGAACCCTAGAGTTAGCCCACTCTCACTTATCACTTACACTTGGAAACATTGCACATTTTCAAAGATAAAACATAAAGCAGTTGGAAAAAAATGCAATAAGAAACAAAATTTTTAAAAAATACCAACTTACGCTGGTTTTTTTCATCCAAATACACTACAAATAAAGTAAGTAAATGTATTAAATACCAAACGCACTCTCTGTGCTACTTATTTGCCTATTTAAGTAATGCTCAAAAGTAGGTTGGTCTATGAAAAATTAAAACTTTGTAAGTAAAATAGTAACATACCAATCGGTAGTATATCCCCGTGCTTATCTAGATAAAAGTTAAAATAGGAAGTTATTGCCAGTTTTTCTCAGACCACAAAAACCTGGTTTCAATGCCTCAGTCTACTCCAATCCGTTCTTTAAAAATAGCAAGAGAAAAAAGGAGTAAAATTTTAGGCATGCAAAGTTAACCTAATTGAAATTATTGTAAGGAAGAGATTGTATTTTTTAAAAGTGCCTTGCGAACCTTAAACTATCTATCTATTTTTTACTGTTATAATAATTAATTAGGTGATAGTAGTAATCATTTATGGGGAAATGCAAGGTTTGCGCTGATTACAAAAGTGCCAAACCTCTGGCCCGAGATCAGTTCTTAATGTGCGTGTTACTCACGTTTGTGACCAAGGTGGAAGATGTGGCCAATGCTGTCGTACATTACCGAACGAGGAACTAAAAAAAGATGGGGATGAAATACGAGGGAACTCGCACACTCTTGCAAACATTCAAGTAATAATTCCAAAAATAATTGAAAAGAAACTGAATTGAATTGAAAAAAAAGTTCGTTTAATCCAAATATTTATTACAAGAAAAGATTTGCCATTTTCTTCCTATCACACACTTTGTTTTCCTAAACTCAGTGAGCCTGAGGGGAATGCAAATTCGCAACAATTGAAACATTTTACATTTCTAATTGCCGAAAAAGAAATCAGTACCTCTATATTGATGTTTCTCATTCTCATCCACCTCGGAATCTAGGACAAAAATCGGAAAAATTTTTATGCTGCTTTTAAATAAGTAGACCATATAATCTGAGTAACTTAAAATAAGTAAAATATCAAGCCGAAATAAATCAAAAGATCGGCACTAGTCAGTTAATTTTCTTCTCAAATCCTCAATTCTTTCGAAAATACAAATAAAATCATTTTGTCAGATTAGAAGTTACTTCGTGTACATCGATGTGATGGTGAAGTGAAAGGTAGGAAAAGAACTTGTTTTTGCCCTTTCGGGATGGTGGTATTTAAACGTTAATATTAAAAAACGGCTATTAATTAATTGTATAACAACTCCATTTGCCACTGATTTAAATGAAAACTTGCGGTTGATTATGGTTTGTAGGGCAGGTGATCCCCATAAATTACTGCAAAGTATGTAAGGCGAACAATTGGTAAGGTGAGCTTAATTAGTTAAAAGTGCAGAAAAGAAATCTAAGGACGCAATCAGTGTTTTTGATTAGTGTGAGAATAAATCACTCACGAGAATCCGTATTGTGATTTGGATGAGAAATGACCCCATTTCAGAAACCAGAATTTTCACAAATTTCAAATGGCTTGCCACAGGTGTATGAAATAAGCAAATACCTTTTTTCTAATAACTGTCAAAAATTAGGTATTTGTGGGACGACTACACATCTGCATACTTGATGAAGCTTTGATTTTTGTAATAAATAGCTTTTGCTTTTACCTTACCAACCTTTTAGTAGACTTCACGAAATTGAGCAAAAAAGCTTATCTCAAAGCCTAAAAATAGATGCTTAAATCCCTTCGCTGGTGAACTTTTCGTTGAGCTAACGAAGAAAATCACCTGCAGCTAATTAAAATAAGATTGTTACTCATTGAGCGGGTTGGTTTTGTAATTAAATCTTGCCAAAGCAACTGAGTAGTTTCGACATTAACATCTATTAGTTTGTAAGTTAGCGGATAAAAAAGTCAAAATTTCTGGCTCTTACCTAACTGATGCAGATCGCCACCATTTCGAAGGGTCTCATAGTCTTTGGCTGAAACGGAGGATAAGTTTTTCCTTACTTTTGCAAATATTCTTGCGTTTTATCAGTTTAAATTAAGTAATCAAGCGCTTTGAAACAAATAACCAGACAATTAATTGTACCACAGGATACCTTACCAATGTTTTCCCAGGTAAATGCATCTCGATCTTAAATAATGATAGTGTTATTTTTATAATTAAAGACTACTCTCACAGACCTTAAGTATTCTACACCATTAAACTAATGATGCCTGATTGCCAAAAATTTCTTTTATCCTACTATACACTTTTATTTTACCTTTTCAATCACAAAAATTGACTTGATGACATGCTTACTTAAATTGCGTATGTACAGTTTGAGCACAAACTATTTGAGCAAATATTTAAAGTATCACTTACAGAGCCTTTTCGGAGAGTATACAGGAACTCTTCTCACTGTTGTTAAGAGGTTAAAAAGATTATTCAGCGCTACCGTTTATAAACACTGTTGGGTTGTATTAAAAATTTGCGGAAGAAATTGCCCCGCCTACCGATACAAGCCGTCCCCTTCTAAGAACGGGCGCATCCTTTACAATAAATTGCTTTTCTTTACTGCGAATTTGTTTTAAGTATTAATGGTATACTGATTCTTGTACGTGCAGTATATTACTGTGTTACCTTCTGCAACTCAAGTTTATTTCTGAGCTCTTAAATACTCGTTAAGCGCCAAAAATGATAAATCTGAAATATCCTCTGCAGATAACTCAGACTGTTGCACACAAGTCTTACCTTCCTTGACTAACTCAACGTAGTTGGGGATTTGTTTCTCAGGCCTCTTATCAATTAACTCTACAAATAACGATGAAAATTTTTCATAGATTAAATGTGCAATAAATCCAAATGCGCATGACTTTTTGGTACAATGGCAAGTTAAAGCAATAAAATTTGGTAGCATCACAGCGTAATTTATTATTTACAAGACCTTTTGAAAGTAAAGCAATGAAAAAGTAATTGCCACAGTGATGTGATATTTGTTTAGGTACTTTAATTACTTGCTATCTTCCTATTAGAAAAGAATATATTTTTTTCTGTCCCATGGGGGCTTTGCAAAATATACGACTTTCACTTACTAAGTTCAGCATTGGCGAATTTAGCCGCGTTTCCTATTTAATGAATAAAATATTAGGTATATGTTAATAGCAACGCATAAATATATCTTCTTTGTAATCAAGGATGGAGGAGCCTTGATTACCCACCTCATATCACTCTCACTCCGTGCCCCCACCTGCACTAAATTTGGCGAGAAGCCAACTTCTCTTGTAGTACTTAAACCGATTTAAACTTGATTCTCAAAGCAGTCAAGCCCGATTTGCATACCGAATGAGTGTGTGTGTGTGTGTGGTAGTGCTGACAAACTGGCGGATGCGTCGCACAGGTCTTTATAACCTACGGCGAGTCATTGCAGTGTGCTAAACCGAAATGTGCGCAATCTTTTGTGATTATCTGAGAGTCAACAGAAACCCCCTCAAGCATTTCAACGCATTCCAGCTAAAGTGTCCAACATCTGCTTGATTTAATTTGGATGCTAGTTAAGAGAGCAGTTGTGTGTCACTTGTATAGTACTTTTAACAAAGCAACGTCAAGTACAGTTTTCCAACTCACCTGAAGGTGGTGGTGCTCTACCTCGCAAAATACCACCTGCATTTAAAACAAGCACTTTAAATCAAGCATATTTTTTCTACTAATACATGTTCTACAAGTTATAGAGAACTACTTCTTTACTCTCTATTATCTTTGCCGCTCTTTGATGTGTCAAAAACGGCGTTTGGAAAAATATTCGTTAACTTACCGGCAAAGATTGGGGTTGAGATAAACGCAAGGAGTAGAAGAAAAATGGGGTGCACCATAATGAGGGGAGTGGGTGATGAATCCCCATTCCTCTCCCTTTTATACCAACCAGTGTGTCCCTACGGGGGAGGGTAGAGTTTGCTCCTATTCCATCTTGAGGCAAAGTTGAGGTCGTGTAGAGCCTAATTTGCATACGTCAGGTCATGAAGATTATAAAAGCTTGAGCTTTAACACTGGAGTTTATTTTTTATAAATTAATATGAATAAGTCTCCTTGTGCATAAATAAAAGTAAAAGCTCAGTCTGTCGTCCCGATTGATCACGATATAGCAAGATGGTATTTTGTTGAGTCAACATTTAACCAAATAACCTCTTCAGTCATTGTGGTTTGCTCCTCTATTTTCTGAGTCAACAGCTCCCCACTTTTCTGAGAGGTGGTAAATCAATCTTCATGCTTAATTAAAGTAATAACCACTTCAAAAGAAGGGACTATGAGCAAAGCGATCTCTTTAATATGGTTAAATTTGAGGATACAAGATGTATGTCAATAAATTAGATGAAAAGTTGTTCATCAGGTGAAGTTTTTTCGAGACTCATTTATGCTTAAAAAATCACCTAGAAAATTGTAAGTTTGGGTTTTACTAAGGTTTAAAAATACTTTTATAATTTCTTTAAGAACCTCAAATTTCGTTTTTTTTTGCTTACTGTTTTATTATATGTGATTTGCATTTATAAGAGATTTCGAGAACTCATATAATTCATATAAACATGATTAATAGTTTTTTTAAGATGCATCTTTTGTGTTGATCAACTTATTTTAGGAGAAAAATTTTTCATTTTTCCGATGCTAAGGTCACTGTTGTTTAATCAGCTTCCATATAGCGCAACGTTTTGGATAACATCGCTATGAATTTCACTTTGCTTGGTAAACTGGTCTTTAAAATGCCAATTTTCGTTAGAACAAGAATTGTATGCTCCTGACTTATTGTCACAACCCCCATTAATGTGCTCCCTTTACGGTTTAAGGTAATTGACTATCGTAAACTAATAAAGGGCGCAAATCAATGTATAACGCTTGATTGTTGTAACGGACGGTTTAGCACGTGGGCAGAATGAATTAACTCTTGATAGGAAAAAATAATTGTTCATTGGGAACACATAGTCGATATTCTTATATAATTTGGCACTTTGTGAAGTCTGAATTTTTGCTACGCACTATAACCTCTGGTAGTCCATCTTTGTTATCTGACGGTCTATAACTGGAGGTAAAAGAATGAATAACAAAGCGGCTATGCTGGTGGTACTGTCAACAGCCTTCTCTTTCATCACAACAGGAGCAGACTTTGGCAAATGACGCAATCAATTAATCTTCATCCTCCGGTCCTACCCTTAATGACAAAAAGTAGCAGATACTAAGTGATTCACTTTCACTTGCATTTTTTTTGGTCAAGGTGATAACAAACCTGCTAAACTCTTGTCAGTCACACTCTTGACATTTGATAGCTCATAAATCTGAACAAAAGACAAATCACCAATTTGTCGGTAAAGGTGTAGGCTTACTCTGCGGTCGTAACTGTGGATCGCTTCGTGTCTGGGCTTCTTTTCCCATTCAGAGCGTACATGCAGTAGGCGGTGCTTATGAGTATTCTGAATGGGAAAATACTGCTTATCTTTAGCGTAATTGCCTGGTCTATATTGCTAGATTTAGGGAGGCACCCACGTTTTCTTAGATGCTACATTTAGGTGCTGTGATTAGGCACGAAATGTCTATTTTCTTACTCAAATTTATGCATCCACCAGCAATTTAGTAAATAAATTAGTGTCTACTTGCATTTTTAAGTAACGTGTTATATTGACTTGTCGTGCAATTAATTAGCATCAATCCTTTAACAATTACACAGCAAAAACCTCGGTTGGCATCAAGGATCGCAGATTCGCGGTGCTAATTCTAGCTTCTCTTAAAGACTCCTGCCAAGTCCTCTCTGATTTGTTCGTGGGATATAGTTTCTTCTTCACGTAACTCTATGGTTAAAACTTCACTGACTGCGTACCTTTCCGCTTGTTAAATGCGACTCTGTTGCACCCTTTTTGAAACGAGACTAACATGAAATGCCATTTAATGCTATTAAGTTAGCAGCCGAACTATTCGGGAAGCGAAATACTCGTTCAATATATACCAGGGCTCTTTAATATCAATTGATTTAAAAGCAATAGTTTTTTACAGGTTTTCTAAGCTCCTTCATTCACGTTGAAATGACACCCACCTTCCTTAATTAGTTTGCTAACAATGATGTCAATAAAATGGGTAGATTGATAGTATATTGATTCCCAGAAAGTAGCATTTAAACAAAGCTATTTTGTGAGTTCTGACTGGTGGCATACCATTTTGCCGAATTCGCAACACTCATTGTAATACTTACGTTGTTTCAATGTACCTTTCAGGGAGGAGACAAACAGGAAATTCGAATCCCGTGACCGGATTGTCCTCTCCCTTACCTAGTGACTGCGGCTCTCCTCCTTCTTGAACATTGTATTTTCCTCTCCATCTTGTCACCTTTAATAAAGATGTCCAAAGCGAATCAACCGGGCTTGTCTAGGAACGCTAGGAATAGGGAAGCGGAGACCGACGATTTTCGCTCCATACTCATAAAGTTTTTTTTGGATGTGTAAACAATAGCTGTGGTCCTTGTTTAGTTCCTTCAATAGCGAGACAAACTTTCAGAAATAATATTAATCCCTTTATTAAATTCCATCCTGATATCAACTAGGCGTACATACATTATTCTTTTTATTCAAATGAATTCCCACTAGGCAGTAGACTTTAAATATCTCGCCCACTTAACTATGCAGGTTTGCCTCAATCTTCCCTTTGGCTACGAATCCCGCTAAGCGCATTGGCTATGCCATGACATCACTCATTGCTATGCTTTGCATTTATCCTAAGGGCAAACAGAATGTTATAAATTGGGCTCTGAATACAGGGTTTGTTATATTCAGTAGCATGCGAATGCTTGCCGCTATCATTGTTGTCGCTTTCATCCTAGCTAATACAGGTACCTCGGTAATGCTGGTCCCGATTTCTATTTTGATAGTACTGACCACTTAACGTCTAGGCTAGAGGCTGAGTACTTTGCTTTAAAAGAAACTCTTTATATATCAATTTTTCCTGCTGACAGGTAGACAAAAGATGGATTGTCCTTTGTTTCTTAACATTAAATTCATGTCTCTAGTAGAAGTGTCCAGCACTCGCCTAGTGAACCCCACAACAAGGCTTTTTAGTCGCGTGCATTTCGAAATTTCCGTCGGTCGTTTTTTTTCCTATACTGCTTCTAATGACACGCCTTTTATCATATTAATTCTAATACTACGCAGTTTTATCTATTCATCATTTCTTAGATGCCCTGAGGTCCCCTGGCCGTTATATCTATCTTCCCCTTCACGGAGGTAAGATATAACTAACAGTACAGATTATTTTAATTTATCGCACAAACCATTCTAAGGTCAGGGATATTTAAAACACATTTTGGTGCATGGTAATTGGGAAACTAGTGACTCAAGCTTAACTTTGGCCTTGTAAAATAAATGTTCATTTTACCAGTTGTTCATTTCCTTTTGTTTTTCAGCGTTTTGCGCGAATGACTACAGCAATATTTCATTCATGAGTTCTTCCTAACATTTTAGGTTATATGGGGTATGATGCGGTGGATTCTAGTGATGATGGTCGGTTTTGCTGATTTAAATAATTATCTTTTATTTACCTTGCTACATCTAGAACTCCAACTGCAGCAAACATCAAGATAAAATTATCACATAATTAACTCTTCAACTTTTTGGCTTTATAGTTAAACTTTCTTCAAAAATGCTTTCATAAACTTTCCGCATAGTTTTTCATTATTACTTATCTGTGCCGTTAGCAGCAATATGCAACTAGTTTCAAACATGGAATTATTCGAGTTTTTAGTTTAGCCTTAAGCCATATCAGGTCACCTTTTCCTTCTAACAATTAGTTATATTTTTTCCGACTTCCATACTGTCATAATTTGTAAAGACAACTCTAGCTTTGAACACTTTAATAGTAGCAAGTTTAACGTTTTTGCTCTTGTGATAGAGGGGAATAATTCTTGATCACTTTTGTCTATGCATGTAGACCCGTGCCAGTTGCCCGTCGATCCGGGCCCAGGTCGTGCCTACTTTCCCTCGTACTACTATGATGCTCGCCAAAGCGCATGCCTGCCTTTTGTCTACGGTGGCTTGAAAGGCAATGCCAACAGGTTTAGAAGCATTTACGAGTGCGAGGCCATGTGCATTATCAATAAAGCCTAATGCCATCCTCGCCCTGTCTCAACCTTCATATCTCGCATTTTCATTAGCTGACTTCACTTTCTTCCTCTTTTAAGGATAAATACATTTCCTTACTGGCAAATTTTGTTTTAAAATTGGCAAATCCCCATGATTCATAACAGCACTGAAGTTATTTGATACTTGTGCGTATTTAATGCTTGTGTTTGTTATCTTTATGTACATAGGAAACACCAAAAGAATGGTTATTGTAATACATCGGGGAGGGAAAGGAAAGGAGCGAGTTGGGTACTGACGTAGGAGCATGGGTTATTGAAGCGTTTCATAACCTTGCCTGGGCTTTGCGACTCTTTGACATCGTCTGCCTCCTGCCCCTCCACCTCCACCGCAGAGACCGGAGTAGTGGAATTTGGACTCTCCTTAGAGAGTAAGGAATGAACCACTGAAGCACTGTCACAGTAGTGAGAAGTGAGGGTTTTTACCTTGCAGATCTTTTTATGCTTCATGCGACGGTTCTGGAACCAGGTCTTGACCTAACAATGGCCAAATGTGCCGTGTCATTTGATTTAACAGGCATCTGTCCCCGTGACTTTTAGAAATTGGATGCTTAAAATGCTGCCTAAATGCTTAAATAACCAATTTTATGCTGATGAAAGACTTTTGACTCATTCGACACTGAGGTGTAATCTTTGGAATCATCAAGGACAGTGATATAAACAATTCATGAACCTAATTGGTATTCACGTTAGCATGTGTATCTTTGCAACAATTATCTTGTATTTTTTGCGCAAAATATAAAAGGCAACTTTTAAACTTGAGCGCCACAAACCTGGGCTTCCGACAGTCCCAGAACGGAGGCGAGTTCGATCCTCTCCGGTGTTGAGAGATACCTCTGTCTTTGAAAGCGCAGTTCTAATTCCGAGAGCTGCTGATCACTGAAAACAGTGCGTGCCTTGCGTCGTCGACAGCGTTTTAGCACAGCCGAGGTGCAGGCTCCCGGAAACGCAAAAATTGAAAGCGGAGCTACTGAAATGGGAGCGTGAAGTACTAGTAGCATGAGCCAATTTTAGATTACAAAATTTGGTAACAGAATTTATGTCCCGAAAAAGCCGTTTATGAATGAAGGGGAAAAAGATGGTCGCAAAAAATAGTAGTGGCTCAAAAAACGAGCTTTTGCCTATAAATCCCTACCCAATGTTGCGGGGATCCGCACAGAATAGCTCCATCAGGTAAGGTCAATGATAGGATGCAGCAATGACTTGTTGGAAGTCAGCACTTCGAATCAACATCTCTACATTATTCTAAGCATCCTTTGCATGGCTCGAAGAGCTAATTTAACCCAACTCATACGAATCAAAGCCATGTGATAAAAGTCAAAATTGAGGCGGCGGCCGAATTTTCATAAGCCCTGTATACCTAGCCATTTGCTCCCTACGGCAAGACTTTACTCCTTCTCATACAGCAGACAGGTTTTAAGAGTAGATAGGGAAATTTTCTACTTAAATACTTCCTTATAATTGACCTCTTAGCTCCTCTTACTTGAATCTCTTGAACAAGTGTTGGAGACGGCAGTAATATATCTACAGGGGAGCTTGTCAGCAATCTCAAACTGTCGCAAGTGCCTACAGTTAAAGCGGCTATAACTAACATACTTTTAGCTACCTAATAAATTTGTTTCGGTGGTGGCAGAGGCAACTCAATAACCACAGTCCAGAGGTTCTATTGGTCTGGAATGGCCCCGATTTCCATCCACGTTTTCAGCTAATTTAATTGGTGTCCACAGGCTAAAAGCAGAAAACTACAACCAAAAACTGTCAGACAACTGCAGATACTAAAAACTGGTAGGAAATACAGGCCGTACTGTTGTGACATGCGGTCTAATATACTTCAGGTGTCACATATGTGTGACGCTGGTAGCAAACGTGTCCGTAAACTGATCTAGGACAAATTATGCATGCATTCAGTAATTTTTGCGTGTACATTTAGAAGCACAACAAAGCGATGCTTGATTTAAATTCAAAAACTTTATTTACTTATGTGTCAAGGTTGACCTATCATTGCCCTGGTTTCTATCATCCTATGGGCTATTTTGGTGCGAAATCACGTCCAATGACCACTTAAAGGCAAATTTTATCAACTTATTATGCAAAAAAATTATAATTTTCTTCCTAATTTTATCAATTTTTGGTGTTATTTATTCAATGGTAATTTCAGGAGCCACTCTTACCCGAGTTCTTCATAAAGTAAGGCAAAAGGAAACACTCGGTGGGGAACATGGCACCAATCTTCTGCTCACTCGCAGTCAAATGAATGTGTGGATTCACTTCGCAGAGAAACGAGGATACTGCTGCATTTGTTGCCCTCTGCACTGATCCCATGTCGGGTTTATCCGCGCCTTTGTCTACCGTCCCACTCAGAATGTTGTCAATGGAGAAACCCGATTTCGAAGTCAACCTTGCCTTCCTTGTTACCCTCTCCTGACGCGCAGTCTCCATTGTAAGGTGGACTTTTTCTCTATGTTTACCACAGGTGGTTAATTCGCCTTATTATTGTGGTATCAAGTCCCCCTTCCTCCTTCAATTACCAGGACCTATTTGAAATCTGATTGGTTGATGGCTCTAAGCTGCGAATGCACTGCTCGTTGATTGGCTATCTAGTGCGTAAGGAAAATGGCGTCTACTTAAGGTTTCTAACATATTTTTGAATTATTTTCTTATTACTATTGACATTGTTAAGTTAATAGCTTTCGGTACTAGTATCCACACCAGGCGAACCTATCAAGTATATTTAAATCACGCTTTTGGCCTGCTTGGTGGTGCATCTCGAGGAAAGCTACCCCCAGCAAAAAACTGATGAAATTTTTTTTCCAAATTGAAAGCGCCCATGATAAAGCATTTTCGTCTTACTATTGATGGAGCGTAGGACTAATGAGGCAATCCCATGCTCTCCAATTGGAGGGAGAATGAGGATACAGAGGAGAGAGCATCTTTCATTCAGCCCATCTCCAAACCCGTAGTGCAGTCTTCTCAACGTTAAGTTGTATGGCATGAGGAAGGAGGTCTTGTGTTGTCTTTCCGCTCCACTGTCTAGCCCACTCACCTTCAAATTGTTTAGTACCACCTGCGGCCGTCGTTATGTGACCTTCAGGAGATGAGTGAAGTCTTGTAAACAGTTTCGTCTTCAGTCCACCGCATACAAAGCAGACAAAGCCTCATGTACCGAATTGGTCCGTGCCTCAAGGAGGGCGTGATGAAGTGGGCTACTGAGTGGATGGTTTGGTGACAGCCGGTGAGACACTAATTCTGTACCACATCACAAGTCAGTCTTCACTTTCAAATAGACATCGCCAGCTCCTGAATCGTCTTCCCCCTCATGGACTGGCATCTACCCACTATTACGATGTGGAAGAGGAAATGTTTCATTAGCTTTTTTCCTTTCGAAAGATCTTTCCTTTTTCTTCGCACCATTAAAGGAATGAAGGAAAGTTTGTCACTTTGAGCTCATTATGAGCTCACAATTTGCCCTCTTTAACCCCCTCGCCCCTAATTAATCCACCAACAACGCACGAAGTGCCCAGTTAGGAGATGGAATGGACTCGCACACCTCCGCCTCCTCCTCCTCCCCCTCCTCGTCTTGATTAGGTCACGCGATGTAGCTAATTAGCAATGGGGGGAGGGTGGAGGGAGGGGTTCAGCTAAGGTAACCACTCGTTAGGGTAGTCATCAAAAATTTCGCCTATCTCTTCAGATTAAGGGGTTACTATTCTATTGTTAGATTAAAATTCCACTTAATTAGAAATTTCAGTTCATCCTTTTTTAGATAAAAAGTAGGCAGTCGGAACTGATTGATGGATATCACTTCATTGTATGAAGGAATGAAACCAAAAAAAGATTTCTGCCTAGACCATTTTCGGAATTTTTGTCATTCTTTTCCGCTCGCTTTTCCATACCATCAACGAGTCTTTGGTACTGTGGAGAGGATCTTTGGTAGCCCTCGCGGCTACGCCTCATCTACAGCAGTCTCGTTGGGGGGGAGGAGGGGGGGTCAAGGTTATTCCAGGAAAGTGACGGATCATTTTATTTCCTTTGCAACCGTGGAAGGTGCTTTGAAGTGTGCATTACTCCCGATGTATGGTTGGCTATCAGCCACCTCCAACTTCTGCGGATTTGGGCAGCCGACCGATTTTTTAGCCACTTATGTCTTCATTCAGCCTGAAAGGGATTTTCAAATTGTTACAGCTTTCGGTTCTTTCACTCCAGGTTGAATACTGGTAGTTTGAAATGGTGGATACGGGGTTAATGTGAAAAAGATAACGATAAGTAAGCTCATTGTTAATGCTGCCTCGTCAAGGTGAAATGTCTTCTACCCAACTTCTATAAGTTCCCCCCACGGCTAGGCGAACGATTGGATGGCTTTTTACTGTGGCCTCCATTGATGTAATTCATGGTTTATCCAGTGGCGAACGTCAACACGAAGGTCTTTGTACTGTGGACATACTTGTTATGGCTCCCCCCCCCTTCTCAAAGATCCTTTTTAAATTACCGGTCGAAGAGGCTCACATCATGGCCTCATCAAGGTTGGGAGGGCTTTACCTATTCACTCCTGGATTGGTCAATGGGGTGTGTCTGTGGGATGAGAGTCATAACGTAATTCGAAAAAGCCTTTTCCTCCTCCTCCTTAGTAAAGGTTCCAAACGTATGGTTGTATACTGCCATACCGATCCTGGAATCTCTCAAAGGTGACATTTTTCTCAGTCGTCAAAGAATCTTTCTCCACAATGACCATAGATAATTTGGTACTTTAAACACGAGAGATCTAGAATAATGCTTAGGGGAAAAGAAGACAATTGTACCGAGAGAGGACTCTTTTCTTGTACCTTCGTCAAAGCTAAAGCCCTTCCGTCTGATAGCATTTCTATTTGGATAAGTGATCATGGCGTCACAAATACGTGACACGTTTTCCTAATGGCTTTATGACCAAATAATTATGTAAAAAACGCATTAAATAAGTTCAAACAAAAGATAAAGACGGAGTAGTTTATAAAATTGCTCATTTTATCTGCTATGAATGGTAGGAAAATGTCGTGATTTAACATTTGTTCCGCTGTGCTTTTAAATATGTCTCCACTTTAGTTTCTGTGATTTTATCCCCCCGTGGTGGCAGCATGGCCAAAAGATATTGCTTTTCAGCCCTTCTGAATGTTTATAATAAATGTCCCTTTAGACTGGTGAGGCTTTTAAGGATTTAGGTAGGAGACTGGAAGCGCTACAGGGACTTTCGGCAAAAACTACTGATACTCGTTGTCGCACTGGGGCAAAGAAGCACTGGGTCCCTTCTTGTCGTCTTCCTACAAACACTTTGTGTATTGAACCGTTTCGTCCCCGAAGTTGTAATGTGCTAAAGTAGTGTGATAAAATCTACTGCTAACAAACGTACAGCCGATTTGAGAGGCTATTAGCCCAAACACAACAGCAGGCCACAAAATGAGCGTAAAAACCGTTGTGATTGACTTACCCGCGTATTTTAGCATACGGCTAAACAAAATACCAAATCACATTGACCTTTATCCATAATTTTTTTTTCACGTCCTGTATATTTTATTCTGCACCTCCAGTTTGCCTCGATTTAACATCAAATGTGAATTCTAGACATGATTTCAGATAGTCCGCATTCGAGCCATTCAAACACATGTAAGGATAAACTTCATTGTGTTCTGCGTAATGCTTCGACAGTTTGTTGAATTCTGCATTTGATCACGCGGGCTTCTAAGACTCTACCATTGTACTTCCTCATGGCAGCATGGCTTCTGGGCCATGCCAGGGACCCCTCAACCCTCCCGTACATTAGCATTCCACTTTCTGCCTCAGTCTTATGAATTCCTTCGACTTCAGAAAAGACTCGTAGAGGTGGTACGCCGATGGCAGCGGAAAGGCAACCCGATTCACAAGAACAAGAACAACCTGGATTTCTACTGCTGTTGGTTAAACTTAAAGGTTCAGAAGAAGGCCATCTGGTCCTGGTGCGAGAGCCTGTGAAGACCCCCAATAGAAAGGTCGAAAATGACCACCGCAGTTCGGTGTTTCGCAGGAATGGTCTTAACAATCGAAGCGATGCTGGTTGCGAATCATCCGTAATATTTCGGTACAACGCTATCTAGGGTGCCCATAGTAAAGGTGTCAGGTAATTAAGCATGCGATACTTCCTCCACCTCTCCACTACCTAAATAGAACCCAGATGGATGTGACTGGGCAGTACCAAAGTAAAAACAAAGTGGAGACGAGGAATAGGCGTAAAGCCCTATTTCCAAGAAACTATTAAATGACTCTGCTTTCAGGCCAGTGTTCAGATGACAAACGATGGGCATACAAGATTACCAGCACATAATCCCTTCCCCATTATAGGTCCCAAACAGAACGAAACTCCAAATCCAGTGGAGTGGACCAGAGAATCGGTGACGTTGCGGCCAAATATCTTTTCGGTTGCACGCGAATACGATGACTGGCGCCATTGGTTCGTGGGTGTCATTTCGTGCCGCACCGACTACGTTGTAATGGTCGACTAGGGAGGTTGAGTAAGGAGAACCCGGGAACGACGCTAAAAATGGAGGAGCCCTATGTACTACATTTATAGTTTGTTTAGCTCCGCGTTTTAGTTGCGCGGATAATTAAAGCATTGCCCGCTGGCCATGCTAGAAGCCTCTCAGCCCCTCTGTACGTCGGTAATACGATCTCTGTCCAACTCTTATGACTTCTTTCGCCTTCGGCAAAGACACTGATGGCAATATTCGCTGTGTTGAGGATTCTCACGACGAGTCTTCATGCATAACACTATAAAATTCCAAATCAAACTCAACGTCAGGGGTCAACATGGCCAAATGATTTTGGGTCGTTCACTCCTGATGAAATAGACTCAGCAACAAGAAGCAGTGCCTTACTAAAAATAAGTTAGGACCTCCATTCGAAATCGGATAAATTTTTCCCTGTTAGGATTCAGATCCTCTGGTCCTGTGGGGAAAAGTTTGGGGGGGGGGGGGTCGTGGTGTCCCCCACAAAGTATCATCGTCAAGAATGCTTTTCATTTAATGGCATTGGAAAACTTTCCGATAATAATCGCTATAAGTTTGTCAAATTGGTCTCTTTGTTTATTTTGAAAGTCCTTTATGTCATTAAATTCTTGCGGCGACTTGTTAAAACTTCGTAGGGTCTATGGTACCAAAAATACCAGTACAGGAGGGTGTAGAGACAGCCACTATGAACCGTAAAAGATCTCAACGCCAGAAACTGACTAAAAAGGTGCATAAGTTGTGAAAGCATCTTTCGCATCACTTTGCTGAATTTCTTTTGTTAAGGGGCCATTTTCAGGTTGGCAATTTTTGCCTGTACCTGTTCTAACTCCTCACTAATTATCATGAGATTTGTAATTTCTCTTTGCCTAATTGTCTGCTTCGCACGCTCTGAGAATTGAGATGCATTTAGATTGCAGGGAAAGGAATGTCGGAGCGGCGATAATTAACCCAATTCCCACTTTCACAACCAATGGGATTGCCTCAATAATCGTCCAATTAAACTTTGTAACATTTAGCCCAATTACTCATAGGTGGGAAAGCCTTTACACCTTATGCCTAAAGTATCAAAATAACCTAATTTCCTCTTTTTTAATAACCCGTTTGCATCGCATGAGTAGAAATCAAAAGGGAAAAGAAGTCTTGTTAAAATTTTCTGGTTAAATTGTTTAATCTACAAGTAGGCACTTTCGTCACCATTCAAGGTGCATTTTCATTGGTCTATTTCTATTTTCAAAAAAGTGCAACACAGCTGATATCAATCACCTAATGTTACCATGCGTTATGTATTAAAGGCGAGGTTATAAATAAGTTAACTAGTTGTCACTCAACTTTACGGCCCTCGACTTCTTTTAAGTCTCGACCTTGAAGCTCTCCGTGACCGCCACGCCTCTGCCTTGGCCAACTCAAGTCAAGTCGGTCAGCAAAGTGATTTCTACCAGTGGGAAAATTGATCCTAAATGATGATCTGCCATTACTTTGTAGCAAACTTCTCATAAACAATTTGTCTGGTTTGTTTCAGGTCTCTCCACCTTTAGTGATCATGGTACACCAATGATAGCGGAGAGTGGTGACCAGCAACTGGTGCCTCAGCCATAAGTCTTCACGGATACCGTCAATCCCAGCCGATACCCGATAGACTATGGCGGGTACATTCGCACGTACCACTATAGGCCTGCAGTCCACTGTAAGATATAGGAGTTCCCACCGTAGGGAAGACCTGAGAGACTGGTAACAGCAGGTGATGAGGGAGGAATCCCCAGTTACCCACATGCGGGGCGATTCATGATTAACTCGAAAGACTAGCCTCCTAACCTCTGTCATTGAATTCTCATCACTTCAACCGCATAATTTGCGTTCCGTTCTGGAAGAAGCCTTTGGAATTGCAAGCATTTTATTAGTAATCCAGGTAGACACCTGTTCCCACCCAATTAAACGCAAGCCGTAACTGTAGCCACCTCCGTCCCCCCATCTCTTCTTATCCCCTAAATGCCCGTTCTATTTCACACGTGATTGTGTGATAATGGATCCCAAGAAAAGGTGAGAATCACTAAAAGACATACCAACAGAAATAAAAGGATGGATTGGAAAAGGCAGTAGCCCAATCCCACCCATTCAAACGCGTGGCATCTCCTCTCACAAGTCCAAATTGTGGCATAATTAGGTCTTCCGTTGTCTTGTAGGAAGAGGACTTTCTTCCGGGTTGTCTTCCTAGTGCACCTTCAAGTTTTATGGCATTGAGTGGATAGGGAGGTCTCGACCGCAGCAAGCCTTCAGCAAGTGAACAAGTCTGTCTATACTTCACCACACACAAGTTAAAGTGGAGTGTGAGCTAGAAGTGATGAGAGGGTCACGCTCCACATGTCAGTAAGTCGGTGAACATGTGGATGAAGGCGTGGTTTATGGAGTAAGATGAACGAGTTCGTAATAAAGTGGAACTTCTTGCCACTTGCTGCTAATACGCATGACATCCGCTTTCTTAAAAGCCCTTGCCACGGCACAATTAAACCAAATGATGTAAGTTCCTACTCCTCGTAATCAATGGTAGGAAGACCCGCCTGAACTTGGCACGTCGATGGTTGAGCAGCGCAAAATCAGGATCCAAATTTTCCTTGGGCCATTCCTCAATGGTACGTTGTTCCGCTGTAACATTCCGCACCTTCTACTCATGGTGTGAGATCTCAGTTTCTAAGCGAAACTTCTGCCTCAAATATGGTACTGAATCAGACTTGGTTCATGAACCCCACAATTTGAAGTCATATCCACCAGGTTCAGTTGACATTTCATTAGCATCAAAAAATAGGGGGGAGGGGGAAGAAAAAAAATGCTTTGTAAAAGTGGGGATCGTGACAAGCCTAGAGGCCGAACAGCAATGGTGCTTGTCAACTTATATCAAAGTCTTAGCAACGAATTGGTACTGTAAAGAACACTTCAACCTACCCGCTTACCTTCTATACACCAAAACAATAATCCAGTAAAGTCTCGTAGGGCAACGCACCCAGTGTCGGAGTCAAAAATCAACCCACCTAGCATCGAAAAGCACCTGGCACCCATTGCCGGGCCTTATAGCCAACCGGTCAAGACCTCGTCCCCGCAGCTTTTCAGAATTTGACATGAGCAACTTCGTACTTATTAAATTTAAGTAGCAAAAACCGAACCCCTTCACACAGCACGACTGATACTTTGTAAGACCAACAGGTGCGCAGCGATCAAGACTTAAAAACTCGGCCACTTGGCTAGGTGAAGGAATCCACCCTTTCGTCGTAAAGGCAGTTAGTTCGAGGAAACAATTCTCAGATGTGCCCTAATAATTAAGTCTTAACTGGAAAAGCACACCACCTCGGAACCGTAGGCCAACACAAAATCAAACGACCCCAGAGCATAATTCAACAAATGAATTAGCGTTAACTCCTACCAAAACATTAAATCACCAGGTGAATCAACTTTCAAAAACGAATAATGCGACTTCACCAAACGTTATATCAGGACTTTGCAAATATTACACAGTTCAGCGCATAAAACAATATACCCACGCATACACTTTATTCATTTACTCCTTATCGGACTTCGCAACAATGACACGAGTACCACGGATACGACCAGTGCGTCTAGCAGCAATGAGACCGACCTTCCTACCGTGGGAGGCGTCTCTGCGGATGGTTGACGGTTTGCCAATGTGCTGATGATTACCACCACCATGAGGATGTTCAACGGGCTGGAAAAGGAAGGAACATTAACTGCAAGTCTATATAGAAGTAAGTACAAGCCAAGGACAAGAAGAGAACTCACGTTCATACAGACACCACGAACGTGTGGCCAGCAGTTACGCTTAGCTTTGTACTTGTGATAGGCACGGCCTGCCTTCAGAATAGGCTTATCAATACGTCCACCACCGGCGACAAGACCAACCATAGCACGGCAACCCGAGGAAAGAACTTTCTTCGCGCCAGATGGCAGCTTAACGCGGGTCCTATTTGTGTCGTGATTGTGAGACACAATGGTGGCATAGGTACCACCAGCCCGAGCAAGCCTGCCTCTATCGCCGTTCTTCTCTTCTACATTGCAGATAACTGTACCCTCAGGCATGGAGCCAAGGGGTAACACGTTACCAATCTAATTTTTAATAAAAAGTACTTCCTAAACCTTGTTTCAAACCTGTAAAGCAGCCTTCTTCCCGCAGTAGACGAACTGACCAGTATGCATTCCCTCGGCAGCGATAAAAAGCTGCTTAATGTGCCTGTAGGAGTACATATCACGGAAATCAACACGAGCCAGAGGAGCACCACGACCAGGATCATGGACGATTTCCCGAACAACACCACGGATATACCCATGTCTTTCTGAATAGTCTACGGGGCGCAACTTGGCAGGACCCTTCCGATGTTTAACGTGCGCTCTGAAAACACTTCCCGCTCCCTTACGCTGACTCCTGATTACGCGTCCCATGAATTGGCTACAAAAAGTGCGACAAACAGCACACGACAAGAATCAAACGCGAAATTGTGGCGGGGCAAACTTAAACAAATTTTTGTGCCACGAAAATGTCTAAAGCAACGCAGTCACTTCAAAAATCCCAACCTTACCAAGAAAATGATTAGTGCACAGGGTATTTGCAGGCATTAGATCAATAAAAATTAAAGCCAAAATTTTTTAAGGAATAACTGTTAGCTAATTACTTGTACAAAGTATTTGACACATAAAAATTTTTAAAATGTTTATTTAAATGTAGTGGAAAAAAAGAGCTGCATTCTTAAATGTTAGGTTCTGGAAACACCGATGTTTTAAGAGATTAGAAAATTTGATTATTTTGCAAGCCCCTAAACTGAAACTATTTATTGCTTACTATATTTTTAGCCACTTTGCTAGCTTAAAGTTAATTCTTACAACAGATATCGTATGTAGTGCACTCGTGACTCTGTATATTGATGACTGAGAATTTTTATCAAAAACGATTATGCTGTTGTACTAAAATTACCCTTGATTGTTTACGTTACGAGTAAGATTTGCTTCATTTCAGAGAACACAATTTCTTCTAACTGCTGCATTGATTGGCATGATATTTTCGTTTTACTAAATCATCCCATTTACCTGCTGGTACTTGTTTTTGAATTTTTTGAGGCTTGGAGGATGAGTGGATTTGTTGCATATTATACATCGTGGGGTTTGTATTATGCAACTTTTCACTCCTACATCAAGTCTGATCGCCTTTTTACGTCTGATTTACTACTTTTCGTAGTTTCATTTGGTTCTTTTTCCAGAAGATTCACATTTGTGCTCTGTATTAAACTAGGTAACTTGCGTTCTTAATTTTTTGCCTCTCCTTTCCTTGGCTTTGTGCGTTTTTTTGCTTAGATTTTTAATTTAATTCTGATTAGCAGTATTCTTTGCTATGGGCACATAGATGACTTAGAACCGGATTTCGCTTGCACAAGTTAGCTTGGCTGTATTTGGAAGCGCAACCGTTATGAGTTACCCAAATCCTGATCTGAAGTTGGGTTCGTTTTGTGCATTTTTTTGTTTGCGTCTTAATATTTTCCTGGCTGTGGATATCAAACAATGAGATTTTGTTGAATCCCAGCCGTGCGGCTCCCTTATTTAGCGGTATCAGCCATCATGGTTGTGTTTTTTTCTTGTTAACGAAGTAGTTTGACACTTTCTCACTTGAGTCACTTAGGTTAACGGAAATTTGGTGGCTTTGTCAGGGCGGCCTGGGATTTCATAATTTTCTCTGGTCATGTGTATACCTAATCCATTCATGCTTAATAGAATCGGTAATTTAGTTGTCCTGTTTTTTCCAATCAAGCATCTTAAATTTTGGAAGGGTGTAAACTTTCTTACCCTATGAGCATCTTAATAGTCAATTTAGGATAAGTGGGAGAATTTATTTGGGCTTCTCCCAAAACTATTTGCCTCATTTAATGCCTTTCGAAAAAGGTGACATCCGTAAGCTATCCATTTTCTCATGGTAATTCTTGATGCATGACGCGGTGTCATATCGTGTTCCGAGGCACGTGTGGTTTCAGGGTTGCTTTTTTCTTGGCACGTTGTAGACGCGTTAGCAACCATTCGGGGCTTAATGTACGCGTCTTTCATGTCATTTTGACGAACATTCCTGGGGCCCACCCCCAGTTTATCAGTGGAAGACTGTCACTAATTCAATCTCTAACAATCGGTTCAATTTTTGGCTGGGCCAAGTATAAGCACGAGGTTCCACCTCTACTACTCAGTGTTGCGAGTGCTTTTCACAAGCCTTTTATGCATTTTATTAAACACTCTAAGGTCTCATGACGGATTGACACAAGGTAGTACGAGTGGTGTGGGTTTCGATAGGATTTAATCTTTTTAGCTTTGGCTGCTAGGCGCCTGGTGGCTCAGGGATTGCATCCTTCGAGCTTTCAAGCACGAATGGCTTCTGATTTCTGAGTCTACCCTAACTAGGGAGGCTTTCTTATCCTAATCTTGTTCCACTAGTGTTTTAAAATTATTTTTAAAAATAACATTGTCGTCTAAATGTAAGTTCTTTTGCAAAAATGGAAATTGAATTCATAAAACACCTAATTAACTACCTCGATTAAAAACGCATCAACAATGAGCTTCTCCTAGGTATTCAAACGATGTTTAGAGTAATTTCTTCAGACCTTATTAATTCATCAATCTTATGGAGTACAGCCGAAATGGTTGCCCCTCTTAGCGCCAGAAAGAGCAACTTGCGCCTCGACTCAATTCAGTCTCCGCCCACTTGCGCCACAGGTGAAATCACAAGTGTCTCGTCTCCCAGGAGGATGTTTTCTTACCTTCTTAAGGGACGAATTTACCTTCACAACGGCCATTTACAAACTATCAACTGGTTTTGGGATTTGTGCAAGATGGATTGACGACCCATTACCATGATTGGAGCGGAAAAGCTCCACATCTGTCACGGAGATTATTTTTTTGTAGGGACGGTTCTCTACCGCCACCTCATCCGAAATTTTTCATGTTTTAAAACTCGCCAACTAAATCGGCATACAAAGGCTGCCAATTCGGTCAGGCTTCTACTCGATCTATCCTCGGTCATTTTGGGTCGTTCTCAGATCCGGCTTGGAATCCCAGAAAAAAGGAATTTTGTATCGAGTTTGGGACACTTGTACGTTCTTAAGGCGTTTTTATGAGCATTTCCCCTCATCTGTTGCGCATCCCCAATTTTAGCTAGGCAAAAAGCAGGCACCAAGTTTACCTCTGATATGAGCCATCCAGGATATTCTGAGATTGGACCTTCATCCCGTCTTTGACATTAAGTATGGTAATTCAGAAACCCCATTTCTTCGTGGTCAGAGTCAGCGGTGGTCCTGATCTCTTCTAAAAATACTTCCTCTGTGATAATGACAGGAATCCCATATCCTCTACGCTATTTGAAAACCACCTTATTCCGCTTCATCAAAGGAAAAGCCGACTCCAAAAGGGAATGTCCAGGTTGGATATTAATTAGTTGAAGCAACCATCAGTACAAACGAGAATCCTTCTTCAAAGCTAGACTCAGAAGTCAGCCAACGAAGCCCAAATTGTTCTTTATTTAGATTGGGCTCATTTATCTATGTCTCCAATGTAGCGTCTCAGATTCTCCCAGAAGCCAATGTTGAAAAACGGTCTCTTTGTGATTGCAAACCGGTCCGGAGGGTAGTGTCACCATAACCGGAGTACAATCAGCCAAGAATGGGGAGCCAAAGTAGTTTGATGTAAATTCAAACAGATGTCAAAGCGCTACAGGAGAGGCAATAGCAATTGAAAAGCCCAAACCAAAGTAGGTGCTGGGACCCTAAATTCTACCCTGACAAAATTGCTGCCAGTCACGTGGCATGAGACGCCTCCACTTTGTTTCTGAACCACCCAGCAGTCACAAACACGTAACGCATTCCTTACCAGTTGATGATAACGGTGAAATACATGCAGGATGTTCCTGGCCTGGTACTCCCAATCCCCTTTCTGCCTGTTGAATCGGCAAGTTCGATAGTGCCAGTGTCGGTGCTAGGTTGGGTCAATAAAGCACACTTGGACTGCGGTGATCGGTTTCCCCCTAGGCCCTGGTAGCGACCAAATTAAGCGCATGGGAACGGGAATGTCACAATTTAGTGAGGTACTAGGAAAACCATCTTTCACCTTACAAAGGCATAAAATATATGCAGCATTTTATAAAAAAAAAGTCAAGTTAGCACATTTGGATGTAACTGAATAACAACATTCTGACAATCTGACAGGGGAACTTGTGACGCCTCCAACTCCGGTAGCTTGATCGACAGCCCCAGGGGAATGTTCACTGCTTGACCAATCAAAAGCCCTGGGTCCAAGAAGGAGGACTGCAAAACGTAGGGAAAGATTAATGTTCTTAAATTGCCTTTTTTTCCCCAGGAGTTGTAGCCACTAGATTGTCTCACCTGATGAATCTGGGCCTCCGAGAGTTTCATCATTTCCGCGAAGCATGAGGGCAGTATCTGTATGAAACACAAGGATTAAAGAGAGCCTCCAACTTACGCAAACTTTGAAACGCCGTTGCTGAACTTTGTCAGTAACTTCCACGAAAATTTCAACCGCATGAAAAGGTCTGTCGATTCTTGCTTCGCACCGAGAACACTCCAGATGGGTGGTAGATGGATTCGACGTGGATGCCTTCTGTTTCAGAGCATCGGAAAGGCAGCCAGTGCACAGGGGCCACACTTGGGAGGATGATGAATCAACGTCCATGACTGTACCTATGTATCAAATAGCAACATTTGTTGCATTTGTACCGCAACTAATGCATGTACTACAAGGTACTTCTAAAGCCCCCTTTTGCAAACATGTTGCCGTGGCAGTCTTGCACACACTGATGCGTGCCAAGTCTAGCCACACAAGTAGTACCAGTAGCAAGGCACACACTTCTTGTGTGTCCCGGTCCAGACACTGGTGATTGCACTAGCAAGCAAGTGGTAGGTGTGTGAAATCTTGGGGATGGTCTTGTCTACCGAAGACTAAAAGCCAAGTATAGTACATTGATGGGATGGGGAAGCGTTCAGCCGGAGTGAGACATTGGAATGATGTAGTCGTTTTCGAGACGCCCGTAGCACAGCAGTTAGACTAGCATTCAACACGGAGCACCTGTCGTCAAAACGAGCCTCAGAACAGCGGCAGCACGCAGATTCACCACCGTTTCAATATGGATGACGAAGTGAGGTAGAAGGGGTCAACTGTACCAACGACTCCTTCTGTTCCGAAATTCTTCAGGCCAGTAATTAGCTGCACGCCGAGAGAAGTGACTCAGGAAGGGCAGTTTTTTCTTCAATTTTTGACACTTTTCTTTTATACACCCAGACATGCCGGCTTTGCTTTAACATCCTCCTCGTAGCTCATAATGACGCAATCTTAAAGCGCAACGTGCTCTGGTTGATTGCAGGTTTAGTAAGTGTTCTAATGTGGGAGATGATCGAAATCTTAGGTCCAAATGGGTCAGAGGTGGGGCATGAACCGAGGCCAAAGCGCCGGTTACAAGTGACGTGTAGACAGTCATAGCTAAAGCGACAGATAAGTAGCACAACGGGTGTTGTTTGAACGCTGCCGAAACATTTAAAACCCGATGGAGAAGGCTTTTAAAGAAGCTAAAATTGGGCTATTTATTCGAGAACAGATTGAATTCCTCTGCCATCAAGATGCAAGGGTACCACGTTTGATTATCAGTGAGATGGTCAAGTAGGTTTGGGAGTGGCAATATTTCCTCCGATGGTATAGAAGATTACGCAAGCTTAAATGAAAAGATTCAGAACTTTTTGTAGAAGGAATTATCTACAAAAGCGGTGAATGATAAGTAAAATCTGACGACCTAGCACCTCCATATGTGACGAAGATCTGAGGTATAACCCAGAAAAAGCTGGGCGGCATTAAAAGGTCAACGGAGGAACGGGAAAGAGATAAACAGAGATTTGGTTACTACTAACAAAAGTTATGACAGTTTAAACCTTATCAAAATCTAAGACGGATCACTACGATTGGAATCGAATCCCTCCTCCCCGAGATGAAAGATCATGGCATCATTTGCGTTCTTACTTTGGGGTCAATTGCACATCACCTGACAATACAGCCAATATGGAATGGCAATTACTAGGAGTGTTGATATGACGCTAAAACAAGACGGAAACCTGTAGTGGAACGGGATTTGTTTTGCTTGGGGTGCAGTATTACGCGGGCCACTTTAGTCATCCGTGCTTCAGTCCAACATGGCGGCAGCACCGAGCTCCTCCCCTATGCCGCCTATGTTACCAGTGTTCGAAAAATAGTAATAGTAATAGTAATCATTGGTATACTAAGACACAAAAAGTTATTAGTCACGTTCTCCCATGAATTGCATTGCTAGCGTCACTCTAGCAGTACAGAAATATTCCTCGTTGAGGAGCCTTCACCAAGAGCACACAACAAATCTGTCGAATGCGACTTTCAGTTAAATTTAGCGCAAAAGAAAAACGCCTTTAAAAATCCTACCTTAAAGCCGATTGGCTTAAAACAGTACCTGCCATTGTTATTAAACTGGCTTTTCTATCTCGAGAAGCCCCCGCGAAGCCGGGCCACTGATGGCCGCGGGTGTGGTCAAGCCGCCTTTCCGGAAGTCGTGCCACCTCAGTCAGATCGACCCGACTGAACGCGTCCAGAATGAAGAGACCTAGGTGAGGGAAGGACAAGTCTTTGTGTAAATGTTCAGCTAGTTTTTCCGGTAATTGTGACAACTGAACCACATTTCAGCTATAAAGATCACTGCACTGGTCACTCCAGCCTCAGCATAGTAGGGACTGAAACTGCACAGTGAAATTAATGCGTGAGCCACCTTGATGCTAATTAGGGATGCTCCTAGTGCATTGTGCTAATAATGATTAGCTTGAAAATTTTAACCTCTTAGGTCATTCATAAAGCTCAATTTTTATTTGAGCAGATTAAGGTTATAAGGAATGAAAAGCTGCATGCTCCAAATGGACGCAATAACACAACCTATCGCGTATTTATACCATGGTAGTGCAAAAAGACTGGGGTTTATGAAACTTTAATTAGTACACACGAGAGAGTCACAGCTATCAAGCTTCTCTTTTGTGTAGTAGAGCTAAGTCTGCTATAATTTAAGGAGTGCCCAAATATGTGGAGAAGCACGAAGGGAGGAGGGTGGCATTGTCAATCACGCCGATTTTTGGCAACAACTTGGACCTCAAGTTCTGTCTCATGGCTAATAGTGGGGCGAGACCATAATTCAATGCGTCGGAAATGCTCACAAATACATATATGAATGGTAGTGGAGCCTGAAGAACTGCCACCTTTTTAGAGTGGCAATGAGGTGGAAAGGAGACGCAGATTGAGGAAACAGTTGCTTTATATTGTTTGATACATTGAATGGATTTTGCTTTTAAGCTCTTCAAATACAAAATGTGTGTGCGGTACTCCAATACTTAACAAATGAATGCCTCCAAAATGGGACGTACAAGGTTGACTCTGTCGAGATCTGCCATAATTAAAGTCATTTTCCTATAATGGGAGTCCATAATACGATCTTTTTTTCTACCTTGATTTAAATTTGCTTGAACATGGTTATAATGATCTAAGCAGAAAAGACCGAGGTGATGGAAGACCAATGTTGAACACGTTTATGTTACCAGAGCAGAGATTAAGTTGTGGTAGACTAAGAAGGGCTGCACAATAAAGCACATATTTGAAGCAAATCTTGTCGTGCAACAAAGGAGGCATAATTGAGCAATGGAGTGTCAATTTGAGTCACTTGAAAATGATCATTTGCTCAAAAAACATATACTACGTAAACAGCCCTTTCCAACATTTCAGTAGCAATAAGAGTCTATAGTCCACATTGACGATAGGTTTCTGCAAACCAGGGCCAAAGACGAGAACGTTTTGAGGATCCTAACTTCCACGCTTTCTAAGTAGAGAATCATATTAGCAAAGTGGTTCCAGATTCAGTCACAGGAACCGCTTCGGAATATCAGCAATTGTCGTCGCAAAGTGTCGGTGATAGTTTTGCCACCTCAGAAGCACTTTTCCAGTGCCGAAAAGCAACTATTTTTTTTCACACCTAGCTTAACCATGATCTGTTGATGCGACAAAACCTTTTGTCATTGTGGTCGAAGAAAGGTAAGGCTAGGGGCAATTCTCCCTACGACATTCTTTCAAAAAAAGGCCATCAGCCGTCTAGGCTGCTTACTAGCTCCGCCGGTTCGCACCAAAAATTCCATCACTATTTTTGACATTTTACCTGCACCAAACCTTGGTGCTGATTCACGAGTGTGGTAGCAGGCAAGTATACCGGTTTCCATTGCAGTTACTCTCAGCTTACCATTACGCAGTTTACTCGTGAAGATTAAAGTCACCTGTCGGAGGGAAACTTCTCACGCGATCACATTGTCACATTGCGCAGATTACCAAAACAGCCACCTTGCCAACCAAAAAACAATTCATTCACGCCTAATAATTCCGTGAGAGCTCTTCTGCTATCAAGTCTAAACGTCAACTCTGCTGACTACTTTCAGTATTTTTGGTAAAATTGTACCGGTAATCAAACTGTATCGGTGGATCATCCGCTGCTTAAGTATCCACAGCTTTCCACAACCTTGGCTTCTGGCTTAGACCTTCCTCGCGGTTTACTTAATTAATTTCAGTAGTAAAATCAGCCACTGGAGCATGACTATCGTCTGGGATAGCCCAGTGATTCTCGAAGTACGAAAGTTATCGGTTAAAACTCGACGATTCTTCCTCACAATAACAGCACACGAAAGAAAAGATAGAGTAGAATACGAACTACATACCTCAAATACTCAATCAAATTGGGCAGTTTAGACTTGATAACTCAGAAAAAAATTTGCAAGTACGACACCCACCGTGCGCAACAATAGCGCCAACGATGAACAACCGGACGCGGTAGGACCGATGCTGACCGTAGTCGAGGGTGGCACAAGGAGAGAGGTGGTCGGAGCTGATGAGAAGGGTCAGAGGCGTGACAGCGTTGGCACTGCAGAGCACCAAGTACACCGTACCCTGAGAGGGGGTCGACTCAGTGGAGATTGCAAAGACGGTTGAAAGTTGGTGATCTTCATTGTCAGTTAGAGTACCTCGATTGCCGGCTAGGATTCGTTCTGCGATCAGTGAACCCGAGGGGAACTTGAGGCAGGAAAGGAAAGACTTATTCGTGTAGTGGTTGTCCAACTTACACTCAAAGGCCGAAGCAAAAGAAAGACAACAGGGGACACCTTCCATTTGTCACTGAAATGTCTCACCTAGTCCACATCCGTTTAATTTATGCCCTGGAACTCATTGAGTTATTCAGCAATATTATAAAGTGGGTTGCCTATTTGATGACTCGGAAGTTCTAGGACCAAGTTTTTGGATTCTACCACAGCCTCCAACCAGATAGGTAATAGACTTCAGAGCGGATGTCTTGATTGACCAGTGTAATGAGGTACGGTCACCGGTTACGTTCCTGGTGGCTGGGAAGTAAAGACTGACGGAGAATGAGTCTACCTTTTCCAAACTATTCATCAGACGCACCCGAATATTTGCAAACTTGGGTGACCGCAGTCTAACAATAAAGGCGAACGATTTGAACTGGTCATCAGTTGAGGACTTTAGATTGAATCACCCGCACTTCCGACTCACATTTTTGCCGTACGTCAGGAGAACATCAGTCTCGTGCATGCCCATCTTCAAACAACGATCTTTCATCGAAGTTTGTCACTTTCTCGTCGAAAGTGCAGTCCCGTAGGTTTTGTGGCAACATCAGGTTGCAACACTGACTAAATTTGGCTGTACGCAGCTTTGCATGCATCATTTTACAAAGCGAGATCGACGTTGAACAGGTCCTCGGACCGTTTGGACTATGGGTCAAATGCAACGCTATCCTCTGGATCGCAATGGTCCTCCGTAATACTATTTGCGACAGCGGCAACAGATTGACACCTTTAATCCGACTGTGGCGTGGCTGGATCGTGAATTCCTGCAGCAGTATCCAACATGTTGGATCGAGGTTACCAAACTGTGCCAGCTAAAGCTTTAAAATCTTGTTTAGACCATTGGCGGAAAAGAGTACGGTCCATTTTTTATAAAATACTGCGTCGCCACTGTCAAAAACTCATCAATTTGTGTTAGATGATTCGTCAAGCCTTGTTTCTTTCAACTCCTGTGTGGTTTAAGATGGTTTCATGAGCCTCATTCCATTGTAGTTCTCAGTTCGTCGTCTACCGCTTTGGACTTAGCTCACATTCTCCATTCCATTGTCAAAATCGCCAAAAAAGGAACAACTGGCGCGCTACGACAACAATTCACAGCCTCATTAAGAAATTTCGCTAAAAAGGTTAATTCGAAGGTCGTATCTGCATTGAAAATGGCATCGATACGCCTCCAGGATATGAAAATAACACAAGTGGGCATTGTGAAAATATCAGAGACATCAATTACGCACCGCTTGGACGTTCAAAA